CAGTATGCAGTTCATTATGAATTTGAAATAGGTTCCCTTCAATATTACAAAAAAACCCCATAAACTATTACTGATATAAATTAACGATAGAAACAGAATCAATTAATACAATAATAATATATATAATACATATCTGTAAGAAAAAAACGATAAAAAATAATTACAATCCAAAACAAATGACATCATAATCATAGGTAAACAATAAAATCGTATTTACTACTACGATTTATCGTTTTCCCATGATTATGACGTTATTTGATTTGATTTGTGAATTAATTTTTTTATCGTATACATGATCAATCGTGCTAATGTGAAACTTAATTCTTTTTTCTGTGGGAACAATACTCTTTAGCTTTTTGTCGTTGATCGAAATCGTCATATTGTGGGCCTTATGCCTACAAAACTACTGAAAATAAGTTGCTTATTTAAATACTTTAACATCGTATTATAGACGCATACTCTCAAATTAAAGTTTTGGGTTTTAAACAAGATTGATTTTTGACAACGATACACAATCTTGGAGTTTCTGCATTGCATATAGGCCTACTCTAAAAAGTACTATTTCAAACACATGAAGTTTAGCGTAGGTCTACTCTACACAAAAAAAAAATCTTTTTTTTTTTCATGAAGGAAGTTACTGCACCCTAGTCAAATATGCCTACATTAAAATGAGGGTTTCTGCATAATAATGATGATGGTAATGATTATACTAATGATGATAATGAGATGATGATGATGATGACTACAATTGCGATAAAAATGTTGATGATAATTATCATCAGTGATGATGATAATAATCAGTGATGATTATCGTGATAAAATTATGATGATAATCGTGATAATTATATTAATAACAAGTTAAACTTACGATGTATAGCTTTGCACACTGGATAATACGTAAGTAGCGAAATAAAAAGCAATATCCACTTGCACACTATCATACCCATATTGAAGTTAGTATTTTAAACTTCAAACGTATCTTGTTCTAATAAGCATACAGTTCATACTTTTTATACACAGAATCGCTAAGATGATCTAATACTTAGTTGTTAAAATGTTAGAATGGTGTCATGGAGTAAGTATTAGCGAAGTACAATACCATCTCGAAATCGTTTCAGCTTCAGTCTTATATTTGCTATTGAGGTAAAATCTAGTAGGCCTTATAATTTACGTGGTTGAAGCTGTTATTTTCCATGAAAGGTGCTGCATAGTTAATATGTACTATAATACGCTTACTACATGAAATATCGTACTAGTAACACGACAAAAAACTAAATTAATTAAACAACAGGATGACAACCACAACATAACAATAGATCTTCATTAATCATTGAGTGATTGATGATTAAATTTTGCTAATTATGTTATTGAATGTGAATTCACCAATAATCATCAGCGTCACAGAACCAAACATTTTATTGCTCGATGTATGCTGTTCTTATTATTTGCCTCGTGCCCCCGCCTCTCCGAAAGAATGGTGAAGGGTATGCAATAGCGCATGTCGGTGTGTGTACATGTGTGTGAGTAATAAAAATGATTATTATCATTTTTATTGTATCATGTAAAATGTCACATATATGATTACATTTAATTTTTACACACATCTGTATAAAACGATAAAAAAAATAATTTTACAAACCAAAACATTACTCGCGCAAGTACAGAACTGTATTTGGCAATATTTTATATCTGCTCGCTGCTAGCACGTGAATTAGTTTTTAATTGTCACATTTTGGCTTCTCCCCATGTGAAAGAACTCTTATCCTTTAAATTCATGAAGTATATTTTTTTTGCCAGATATTTACTTAGGCCTACTAGGCCTAAGCCATTGTACAATGCACTACACGAGTTGTCCTTTGAAAATACACTCTTATAAGTAATAATCAGTAAAATGACAGGCAGCACTTAATTGACTAACAATTCACTTCAGGTGACTGTACAAATGAAACATCATCGATCGCTTATATACAAGTGGGACAATAGAGTGAGACTCCAAGCAAGATAATAATAAACAATAACAAGCAGTAAGCAAAAAAAGTAAGCACCACCTGAACAAGTTCACTGTGTGAACGAAAGCTTGCGCCAATAAATATTTGTTAGTCTATAAAGTGCTGCCGGCCAATTTACTGCGTTCAAACTAACACAGCTAATCTACTATCTCATATTCTTGTAAGTAAATAAACTGTGGGCACGCTTTTGAATGATGCTTTGAATTCGGATGCAGGTTATCTTTTATTTTGTAGTGCCAAAAATGCAAAATGAAATTCACATACATCATAGTTTTATATACTAGGAATCGACAAGAAAAATAAAAATCTACGAAATTATATTTTTTCTATTTTACTCAATTATTAGTCATTTTCGTCTTATTCCTTCCGATGTTGGCTGGCGTTCTTTGGACAACCATACCGTCACCTCCTTGAATTTAAACGTTAAAAATGTATTATTAAATAATAATAATGATGTTTATTTTGTGTTGTAATTATTGTGTTTGATAGAATCATATGTAAACAATAATTAATAATCCACATCCTGTCCATTGTGCAATATTCTCAAAATTTTACATCTGTAGTTTGACAAAATCGTTTGTATGAAATTTCGATATTAATTTCCCTATTTATCTCAATTGTATTGATTTTTTTTGTAATCAACTATTATAAATTTAAATTGTGCCTATTACTGTTTAGTTTAGGCCTATTTCACAGTTAGACTTTGTATTTGCTCTTTATATGTTTTTCTGTTTTTTGTTTTTTTAAAATAATTTTTATTGTGTATTTTATTAATATTGTGTCGATATGACTAAAACATAAGTGAAAAAACAAGCACACTCAACAAGAATTTAATCGAATATTAAATATTTTATTATCAAGATCAGACGTTTGTATTGCTTTCATAAACATTGTCCAACATACAGGTAATCATATTTTACTCTTCACTGGGGAAAAAAAATAAATTTAGAAACAAAAATATTTAAAATTTATAAATCACAAAAGTAGCATACAACCATCTTAACAAATAATGCGAGGATGTTAACCCACAGAACTACTGTATATAGCTCGGTTTTAAATCGTACTGGAAATTCAAAGTGCACTAGCTTTAATACTATAGCTAATGAAGTCTGAGTGGATGAAAACTAGAGCCAATAAATTTTATAGTTGGTTTTTAAAGTGCTGAGATTTGTCATTTTTTATAATTACTTGGTTTATACTGTATAATAAAAACTAACAGTGGGTTATGTGTTAAAATCAACCAAAATGAATAAATTCTAATTTACCATTTCAAATGTTCTTGTAATTATACTAAATATTTCACACACATACAGAGAGATATATTACAGTAATTGTGAAAGGCTACATGAACTTTGACCATAGATTTGAATCACAGTACTATGTATACATCTATATTAAAGGCAACATTCAAGAAATAGGGCTCAACAGTTTATTAATATACATTGCATTAAAGGACAGAGAAACATTGAATTACAAAGAATAGCCAAACTTGAATAAAACATAAACAACCTAAAGTTGCAAAAATCATAAATAAATAAAAATATGATGATCATTTATTCTATATGATTGCATAATTATTTCACATTTACATCAACGTTGCAGAGAAAATACTTAAATCTGTATACAGTATTAATTCATTTTAGTTTAATGAACATAGACCTACCCATACATTGATATTAAAACTATTATCATTCAACTTAAATTGATATACCATTACTATATATTTAATAAACCTCTGGTGGAAGATATTTTTTTGAAACTATATTTTGCAAAATGTCTGGTAACTATTAACAAATCATTGAAACTGACAAAAGATAAATGTGTCTTACAAGAATAGTTGCTAAAACTTTGTCCACAAAATCAAGTTTAATGTGACAACTACCTGTGATCTGCCCATATTTGAAAGTCATGTGACATCATCCTGCCCATCTATGTGTGTAACATTGCAAAAGCATGCCCATATTTGGAAGTGATATGACATCATCCTGCACATGGAAGCAACATTACAGTAGCATGCCCATATTTGGAAGTGATATGACAGTAGCATGCCCATATATGGGCAAATCACACAATTTTTTTAACTTGACAGTCTCAAAAGACATACCATTAATATGGAATTAGGTAAATAATAAAAATATATTAAATATAATATAAATACAAAACAACCAGTAAACATGATGAAACTGACATCTCTTCCAAATCAGAATCATCATCTTCCCAGTATGATTCAACTCCTTTCTGAATCAGATTAATTTCCTTCCATTCAGACTCATCTCCCCCCCCCCCCACATCAACCTAGTTGAATTCATTTCTATACATCCACAAGCATTTCTACTCTTATTACTTCTAAACCTTTAATATATTACAATAACTTGAAATTTTCACAATATCATTTTCTTTAACTTTTCTTATTTTTTATAACCCCTTCTTTACATTGTGACTTCCAGATTGATAACAATATATTTTATTAATGATTGCACTTTAAATTATATTGCAAATATTGAGAGTAATTATTATAAATCACATGATTCACATTTTCATTAGATTTTCAGTATATATATCATGCAACAGATCTTTACTGACTACATACAAAAACTACATAAGAAATAATAAAATGAGTTGAATAACTTTTCCTGAAATGGTTAATTTGTTTATGTGAGTGCCCCTTTCATTCCACCTCCCCAAAATCCACTACTGACATGCAAAATATTACTGACCACATACAAAGTACATAAGAAGAAAATGAGTTAAATAACTTTTCCTGGATCAATTAATTTATTTGTTTTTGAGAGTGGAATTTCTTGCCACTCCTCCCAAAATCCACTACTGATAAAGGAATGTTATTGAATATATATGTAGATTAATTAATAAATTTATTTTCTTTTGTTTTAATTTTCAATTAATTGGTACTCATGGTACTCAATACCCTTAAAACTGAGATAAAATAAGCAGGAAATCATCATATAAATATTATAATGAATGTTTAAAATTTACTACACATATAACAATAATAATAATTATAATATTAATAATAATTAATAATATTAATAATAATAATAATAATAATTTATATAGTGCTCTTAACATTGAGATAAAATATAAGATCTTAGAAAATTTAGATGCGTAAAGACATGGAAGTGGGTTAGAATATGTATGCTAAGTATAATTATTATTATATGATAATTTTATTAATGATAATCATGATAATCGTAATTAAAAAAATAATGATAATTATAATAATCATTGAGATTACAATTATAATTTAGATATTATATTTTCAGATAACTATTTACATTTTGAATATCTACATCATTTCATAATCTACTTGACATTTATACAGACAGCACCAATGGTGTCAGAATGCAAAACAAAAATAATAAACAATTCTAAAATAAATATATTAATTTATTTACAATAAAAACACATTAAAACCATGGACCTATTAATTATTAATAGGTCCATGTTAAAACTAATGGCAATTACTACTATTTCATTTCTTCATTTTTAAAGTACAAAATCAAGATTTCATTGGTACCAACAAATATGATTACAAAACATTAAATTAAAACTTGGATAACATTTAAAATCACACTAAGAATTATACTGATTCAGGGCACATTTCCCTATTGGATGATATTGATAGGTTTAGAATAGTAATGCTGATTAAGGGCACATTGTGTTTGGTTGATATCTCAAAGGATTTCAAAAACTAAAGGTCATGCTGATTTAGGGCACATGTAGCAGTTGATACAGTTGAGTAGGCTTCAAGAAAATGGAAGAAAAGTCCTTATGTTATGCTACCCTCTCTACCAGGATAAAACTGGTGTTGGTCTCTAATTAACCAAGGTAAGGTAACCAACAAATGTGGTTGCGGTATAAGTTATTATCAGGGACCTCAATCTTTGGATTTTGCTTCATTGCAGTGCTGCATACCGGCACAATAATGAATCATAAGAAGTCTTAAGTCCTCCATTCGTTGTTCGCTTTTTAGGATCTTACCAGCAACACTGGCTTCATGACTGGCCTGTTTGGCATTGTGCTGGTCCTGGGCAAGGTGGGCCCGCTTCTCTGCTTCACGATCTATCTCTTGTTGAAGTTTTGAAATCTGATAATCAAAATCAGCATCATTTAGATCAATATTATAAACTAATTAAAGACAATATCCAATTAAAGAACACTATTGTGGTCCCAAATTAACAAATGTCTTTTATCTTTATTATTCTAATTAGAGACCAAAGCTGCTTAAAACCATGGAAACCCTGATCCCAAAAGTGGTCTTTAATTGGGAGACCTGCATTAAGTGAAGTGACCATGTGGTAAGGCAGGGGCGCCGCTAGCTAGAGCCTTAACATCGGCGCTGGTTCCAGCCGCTCCTCGCCCATGGTTCGGGTGGTAGAACCAGGTCTTCTCAGATAAGGACTTAAAATGGAGGTCCAGTGTATACATCTGGCTCGTGTGCACTTTAAAGAACCCAAGTTGCATCTTTTGGAAGAGTAGGAGGTTACCCCGAAACTATGGTTCATTTCAGCCCCTGTCGTTGTGGAATGATGTGAACATGTAGCTCCATGAAGCGTCACTTTACGGCTGCTAGGTAGTCAAGGACCACACCCATATGCAATTTAACACAATGACACTGCAAGTTATGGGTTATTCTTCTACCTTCACCTCTACCCTTACCTTTATATCACTACAATCTTAATGGGTATTGTTTGTTGTTTTTATACTATGGAATACTTTGAATTATGAATAAAAAATTAACTTCATGGTTTCAAAATTATCCTTCTGCTTGTTTAACAATTTGACATTTTAAACATATAAAGGAGATTCTGTAGCATATGAAAATATAACCTATATGAATAAATATTGTAAATTTACCATGAGTTCCAACTTTTCTTTGCGTTCATTTACGAGGAGATCGATGTATAATTCTCTTCCCATCTGAAATAAAATTAATTGTGAGTGCTAATAATTTTAAAGTTAATCCACATATGTGGCAAAGACAAGCCAAACCAGTCACTTGTCGCAAATCCTGTTTTGGAGATAATGGCCAAAACATGCTGGAATTTCAAAATTTTGGAAATCTATTTTATTGTACTAAACTAACCTTTATAAATCTATACATCATGCTATGCTGTATGTTTAAACTTCATAACGAAGTGTCGGATTTAAATGATTCTTTTACCATTTTATAGCTCCCATTTTACTATTAAACCCTGTATTAATAACTAAAAATTGATTTTTCCGCTCACACGAATGTGGGTCACTGTTACAAAAGTGTAATTACAAATAAAATATAATTGGTCTTGATGTTAAATTCGGTTTATGAAACACGCCCTCTAGAGCCCTGCTTCTCAAACATTTTGTGGTGGCGACCCATTTTTAGATTCCTTTTCTTTCGCAACTCAAAGCATTGCCAGATCATACCACAATGCTAATGTAATTATACGATTACTATGCCTACTATTTACTTGCCATAAGCTAGATAAAATTATGATGATACTGTTTTCTGACATAATTGCCTTTTTAGAAATCCATGCCCGTATAATTTGATAGCCATAGCACTTGCCTCATAATTTATAAGTAAAGATATGCTGTTGTATTTCTACAGTCAACGTCGGCTAATTTAAATACAAAGTAACTATGATAAATTGTTTTGATTTTTATTTACTCAGCAGAGTATACAAGGTGTTTTGTTATCATCGACCGTTTGCGGAATGTTCCTCTATAATATAGAGAATATTATTTACTACACTATACAATAAAACAATGATGAAATTTTGAATTATATACAGCTGACTTGGGTGACGTTGACTGAGTAAATAATAATTGAAAAATTAAGCTTGTGCATCCCAAACTTCTTGCCAAAAGGCTCAAACAAACTTTATTAACTGGCACGTCATGTTAATGTGATCTATGTTCCTCCCTAACTTTAAAAATCCTTGGAGAAATTGGCAACAGTGCAACCATGAGAGTAGATTCTAGGTTTTGGGTTGATAATGAATTTTTAGCTTTCGTCTTCATAGCTAATCCCTTGATTTGAGTCCTTTGCAGGATGGTTATGTAGAAGTATTTTCCCTCTTTTTAAGTCATATTTTTTTTAAAGTCAAGAGCAGTCTTGCGATCCTCAGAAATATATTGGCGATCCAAGTTTGGGTCGCGACCCATAGTTTGAAAAGCAGACCTCTAGAGTACAGAATACAGAGAATCAGAAACACTGGAGTGGAGTCCAGCAGAATTTGACTGATTACAATATTTATATTTCCTTTCCTATTTTATATCGGTGTTTCTATTTTTCTAGATTTTATTTTTTAATCTAGTATGAAAACAATTTTTGAGTTAAACTGAATGTAATTATTTAAATAAATAAGTGATTATAACATCATTTTTTACAAAGAATATGTTAACCACCATCATCAACACACAATAATATAAATATTGCAAAGAACAACAAATAATGAAACAGAGCGATTATAGTGAAGTAAAAATGTGAATGTAAATTTACAATAACAAGAATAATGAGAAGGGTATAAAAATGATGAGAAATATTAGAAAATGAAATGAAAATGACTGATGAAAAACATGACACTTATTATATTTGCAGAAGCCATATATATAAATATGAATATATAAAAAATACACAAATGAGATAAAGATGCACATAATACAATAGACAAACATGAAATCACATGCACAACATACCTATACTCTACGTAACATAAGTACTACATCAAATTCAACATTATGGGATACAAAAAGAAAATATGGGATGTTGTGGGAATCAACACAGCAACTCCGAGAGCATTATTTCAATGCTATAATAGCTAAGCTAAAGCTTTTTATTTGAATTCCTAAGGGTTAAATATTTTCAGGACCCCAAGTAAAATAAACCTGTTTACTTTTTTTTTGCTATCCTCGGCAAAATCAACTACATAATTCTAAATAATATCAATAAAATTATTTGTTATCCATACTTTTGTAACCCCTATTAAGGGGACACTTTCAGAACCAAAGAAAGTGTCCCCTTATATAGGGGTGTCCTCTAAATAGGGGTTGGCCTTTAAAAGATATACTACCCCTCGTTTAGTGCCCAAAAAAGTGCCCTTTAATAGGAAGTTCTATTGTACATTATATTAAAATGTGTGTATATTGAAATAAATAAAAATATATGAATAAAATTATTGAATAAATAAAAATACAATAAAAAATTACAAAGAAATGTAAGAAAGTGTAAGAAAACATTCATATTTAAGTGCAAACACGTAAAACATAAACGCTTTCTACGATGTCCACTCATTACCTCTCGTGCAGCAGACATGAACATAGCATCCGTATCCGCCATTGTTCCTCCCGGATCAATCAATTTCCGTAGCTCCCCCTTCAATTTATGGATACTGCGAACAAGCTCATCAATGTCCTCCTCATCGTCTGATGTCGGAGGTGAGTTAAGTGGTGAACCAGGAGGGGAGGAGGTGGGTGAGGTCTGGGGTGTGTTCTTGACGGAGTTCCCTGGTGATGGCATAGGCGTGATCGACGCTGGAACTTTGAGTTGGATGTCGCGAGCTGGGGACGGGTGCTCGGATTTGGGACGCCCTAGGAGTCTAAAGGTAATGAATATTAATAGTTTTTTGATAAGTTTATTATTTCATTTATTTAATTATTTACTTATTCTTTTATTTATTTTATTTTTTCATTTATTTATTATTTATTTTATGAATCGACATCGTCCAAAGTATATTATCTTGAGTTTATATTCGTTATTTTATTTTATTATTTTGGAAATATGTTTGCCAGGATGGCTAAGACAATTAAAATTAAAACTAATAATATTTATTCTATTTTTATATTATTTTTGTTTTATTTATCATTTAGCTTTTAATTTAAAATTTTAGGTGTAAAATATTCATACATATACATTGTTTATGTTTATTCATTATTCTTCTAATTTTTTAAAGGTCAAACATGACAAAATAAGTTTTCTTTCTATTTTTTACCTTTATTACTATCTTTATTAATATTATTTTATATTATTGTTAATTTCTATAATATTACCATTATTTAAATAATCTGTGCATTTTGCATAAAAAAACAAAAAACTTTAAATAATAATAAAACTAATAATGGGGATTTATACAGCAGAAAAATTTATCTCAAAGAGAATGTTCATCACACTGCTCCAATTCATGAAAACCCAAAAAAAAGAAAACTGAAAAAGTGTGAACAGAAAATGATGTAAATTTAATTTTGTTTAATTGTCGTAGAGATATTCTAAATCATATTCAGTTATTAAAATTAAAGAGTAAATAATATTTGAGAATTTGCCAACATGCAACCACCTTGTATGCATATCAGTTCCCCATCATTCTCTTGGTGACTGAAAACTGAAGATGTACTTTATGTAAATCAAATACCATACAAAAATAAAATAAAGTACTTTTATATCCAAGCCCCGAAACATACTGTAGACTCAGAAGTACTGGGATAGTGTCCAGTGGAGTACATTACCATTGTAGTTACAATTATATTGTTAAGTATAACTTTATATATAAATAAAGTGAATGAATGAATGAATAATAGGAAAAATTAAAAAAATTTGGACAATTCATTATATAGGAACAACGATCCCATATTATAATCATCCAGTTATGAAAGTGAACCATAATGAAAAATGATAAATAGGTGGCGCACTCACATATCGCATGGCATTTGTGCTTGGGTTTTCTCGGAGCATTTCTTGTGACATATCAGTTTACAAACCTTACACTGGTAAGCATATTTTGTCCAGACCTGAAAAAACATAAATGAAACACTAATAATAGTGTTGTAAACAACATGTTGTCAAAGAATGTGGCACAGAGGTAAAGCTGTAAGCCTCAAATTAAAAAGTCAAGGGTTCAAATTTTAAGCTAAACATTTCATTTGATCAACTTTCTTTCTCTCCACCCAGAAGTATACAGTAAGTGGGTGTCTGGTAAGCAGAAGGGGTGGATTTAGTAGGGGGGGGGGGAAGGCGGGCTGACTTCCCGATCCCCTCTTTTTGAATGTAAAAAAAAAAAAGAAAGAAAAATAAATAAATTATTATTGATCACCCAAAATGCCTCGGAGGTTAAATTTCCCAGAACTTCCCTAGGGTAGTGTTGTTGATCACCACCCTCATTTCCGACATACCTAGATCCGCCCTTGCCAGGGGATAATGTGTTCCGTAGATGTTTCAATGCAATACAGAGTAATAATGTAAAGCAGAAGCACATACAAGCATCAAAATAATGATCCGCTAAAAGAGCATAATCAGCCGCAATAATGAAAACAAAAATACAATAATAAAAATAAAATTAAAACAATACATTCAATATTTTACTTAAACTAAATGTATTGAGGCATAGGGCCTACCTTTTTAGTGCAAAAGCCACATCGCGTTTGTGCAGCAAACTGCGTACCCACAAAAACATGTCGTTTAGTTGAAGTTAAGCTGAAGAGACAGAAAGCAAAAGTGCAGCAAAAGCACTGAATAACCACATTGCAAGAAGCACTATTGCAAATAATAAAATCTAAAGACTTTTCACATGGAAAAACAGGATTTGTTTGATTAGATATATCTGGTACAAGCATACACTATCAGACAAAGTCTGATAACATTTTTCTGAATCTGGCAGACAAAAATCTGATGGCATATGCCAGCTTTATAGCAGTTTAAATTTCATCCAGTTTAAAGTTCATCACTGGCTGACACAATTTGTTTGATCAGATATGCCTGATACATGCATACACTATCAGATACAATCTGAACAAACTTTTTCTGTTAAGCTCTGTCCACACTATCAAATTTTATGTGACAAATTTGTGTGATGTGCCCATATATGGGCATGATGATGTCATATCACACTTTTTTGTCACACAAAAGTTGATGTGTGGACTGAAGTTAAAGCCCTATTCCCGACAAAATTTCAGTTGTTAAGAAAAATCTTATTTTTATATGTTTTATAAAGATTTATAAATACAATACGAAATTGCTAGTTTAACTGAATTTAGACATTCTTAAACATGCAAAAAATGTAATATAGAACTGAAATTAGATTTTTTTTGTGTTCCACACAAAAAATAAATGTGGATGAATTTTTTGCTATGATTGACTTTGCGATAGGAATGCAAGGAATGGCGCTGGAAACATTACCTATCCAACACTCCTAGGCTAGGCCTAGCCTTACCTCGAATTAGGTTCTGTTATCACACATAAAAATGGACAACATGATATTTTCTGTTGCTAGTATTGACACTTGTAAAATATAATATTTCATAGGCATTATTTCAAATCTGTTAAAAAATGATTCTGACTGAGATTTTGACAATTAAACAAACATATCTGAGGCCTACTCGATCGACCGCAGTGTGCGAGATGCGAAGTACAAAAACTAATTTCATTAGAGAGTGTGCACTTTATTGACTGTATAAAGTATACATAAAAATGTAAGCATTACAGCGGATGCGATCTACAACCTCTGAATTTGACTAGTAACGAAGAATTTGTTGAGAAAATGGTAATCTCGTATGAGAAATAGTCTGTATTTTTCATATTTTTTATTCTTTTAAAACTAAAATTTATGCCAATATTTTTCCATATTTTTCTATAATTAGAGTAATACATATGCACTTTTTCTAAAAAAAACCTCTTTTTTAGTGAAATTTTGCCGGGAATCTTTAAGCATGGTCTCACAGATAAATATTTGTCAGATTTTTTTTTTTCCCCACATTTTTTGTATTGCACTTATCGACATACTCCTATGGAACTTTCACATAACATATAAATACCAATCTTTGTCAATAATTGCTTACAGTGCATAGTTCTGAAAAGGTCTGTTGTTTTTGTTGCTAACTATTGTTTAAAAAATTTCATCTTAAAAAATGATCAAATTCAACATGTTCTGTCACCTCAATTCATCTGGTCTTGTCCGTTTTTTAACGTTTGGTTGTTGCCTGAGATCATTCTGTGACTCAAGACGGTGTGACCTTAATTCGTCCATTTTTGCATTTATTTCTTCCAAGGTGAATTCTTGTCGTTCTAACGGGCTGTGATGGAAGCCCAGGGTTATGTCACCATAACAAAGGTTGTTTTCAAAACCAGAGTGACGGTAGAGATTTGCATATGCTGGATGTCGGCTAAAGATGAGAAAGAATTTATAGTTTATTATAATAAGAGTCAATATAGATTTACATGTTTAATCAGGATTTTGTAGTATTGTCTGTTTCCATAGTGTTGGAAAATGCTTTTCTATTATAATAAAAGTCAATGATTGAGAAATACTCAGGGAGACTGAGTATGTGGTCCACATATGTGCCTAATCCAATGACCTGGGGCGGATTGCTATTAGCGGTCTTTAGCCGGCTATAATCGTGACGTCACAACTGGTCTATGATTATAGATCATTGCTATACCGCGGTCTAACCAGTTAGCCGTCTTAAATTTTAAAGCCTACTCGGAGGAGGCTTAAAATGGTCTTAAATCATTTTCATCATGGCGTTCTGTTGATTAATTCAACAGTGCAATGGAAAGACCTAGATCATCAAAGTTGGAGAATCGAATGACGAATATTCCGCATGCTTCTCAGCGTCTGTGAAAATAGGTCTACGTTAATTTACTTTCACTTCGATACATTTGCGTGCGTCGAGCATGCATGACGTCGCCCCAAATCTTATGTTACCAGGGAGTGCTTGTTTGCATTTCAATACTCAAAGCGGTCTTAGGGAAGTTTTATAGTAATGGTCTTAGAGGAATGACTTTAGTAAGGCTGTCAAGTGATAAATCCGGCTTTAATCGAAAAGTTAAGACTACCAGTTAGGACCGTTTTATAGCAATCCGCCCCTGGGTTAATAATGTGAAGCGCTTAGAGGTCTTGTTGGCATATATCATTATATGAAGTCTACCATATGATTATACTGTTAGCCCTCTAATTCTAGAGACCACTTCGGGACATGAAAATTTAGGGTGGTCTTGGGGTTTAGCCTCCAGCTTAGAGGGTTAGCTTCGTGTTGGATTGATGATTATTTGGTTCTTTAAAAAAGTGGTCTTGATTTAGAGGGGTTTAGAGGGATTTAGAGGGGTTTAGAGGGATTTCAGAGTACGAGTTTCTGTATACCTTGCTCCAGCTTTCTGTTGAGGGGGAAACAACTTGTAGATTTCCTGGTGCTCGCCTGATAATGTTGTTAAGCACTGGAGGGCTACATTCATCAGCGGCACACTGGCATAACCAATTGGGATGTCTCTTTCACCAAGCTGACCTTTGACACGATTCCAGATGCATACATTAAGGAATTTATCTGAGTCATCTAAGTCAAATTCAAATAGCTCATCCCAGTTGATGTCCTGTTACAAATAGAAAATAAAAACCATTCTTAATTAATTTTTACAAGATTATTTAACGATAGGTGAATAACCCAACATAGTTAACTCTGGTATAAGCTCACCCACTTTGAACACAAAATTGGGCCAATTTTGTTTTATTTTTTTAATTTATTTTACTTTTGGGGAAGGTGGGCTTATAACTGGGAATCCCTTTTCAATCACAAGGCAATTTTTTTTATCACTGCATGCATAATTAAAATCCTATATTTAATGTTTTTAGATTATTTGTAAAAGTCAGCCAAGCTACTCTGTGGTACATAAAGCAGCATAAAGCAGGGGGTGGGCTTATACTCGAGATGGGCTTACACCTGAGGACCTTCGGTACTTACTCTAGAGGCGGGCATACAAGATGTTTGGAAATCTTCCTTTTTCTGCGTTGGCCTAGTTTCACCTGTAGGTGCGTCAAAAGCATCTTCAAGAAAGTCCGGCGGACAACTCGCTAGACTTATTGTATCAGCATCAGGGTCACTTGGCAAGCCGTTAAACGGCAAGTTCTTGGTGTGTTCACGTGCTACAGGCTGATTTTTGGAAGCCAACTGTGTCAACTTCTCCGACTCTTTCAAAAACGTTCCTAGGCTATGCGTGCTCTCACTCTTTAAATCCATATATGATTCCATGCTTGAATCCATGGCTCCCCAAGAGGCACGCCGTTTGTGCTGTGACTGTCCTTCGGGAAAGGCCCTTCGCCGTAACACAGGGGAAATGCTCTCAGACAGGCTTGCAGCGGCAGCGGTCACCTGCTTTGGTAAGGAATCTTGTGTACTATAGCCAAGTGTTGTTATTGTATCATTGATAAAGTCATCATAATCATTTTCTTGACTGTGATCCACAAATTCAACTCTGCCATCCACTTGGTTTACGCTTGTGTCTATCGGTTGTGTAGGTCGTTGAACCCGTAATTTGCACCTGTAAAAGCAAACAGCATTCAATAATGAACACTGAGTAAAGCGTCATAGACAAAATGACAGAGAAGAGTTTGCCAGGTATCACAGAAGTAAACAAACTATATAAGATGTGTTAAGAATCCTGGCATATCTATGGGCCCCCCAAAAAAGCTTGCATATCCCCAAGCACTCCCCCATTGAAAGTGTCCCGAGAAAAAATAGCATGCTAAAGTTGTTCACTTCATAGCTCCCCTTCACATAATCATCAAGCCCCACCAATCCACCTTTGTGCTCCCATCAGGGCCCTCCCCCCCCCCCATTCTATACACGATATTCCCCTGACTAAAGACTTTGAATTCTGTATTTGAATATGTTACTGAGGATCACTGAGGTTATTTGTGTTTCTATACCACTGCATAAAATATTAATTATTTCTTACATTTTTGTATTATTAAATGGTTAGTTGACTTGCTCAATTTTAACTTATTAACTTACTTTTCTTTGGAATTCTTGATTAACTTCATAGCTTCTTTACCTGAAGTTACGTCTATACCATTTATGGATAGGAGAACATCACCCTAAAGAAAATGAGAACATAAAAAAATTATTTTGTGTATTTAATACACTTTCACTATTAATCTCTCCAACAACATCAACATATCATTTGCTTTGATTTGATTTAAATACACCTAGATTAAAACCAAGATATAACCTTAAGCTTTGGTATAACTATATTAAGGTATAACCTAGATAAAATCAAGGTTTAAATTTATAACCAAGGTTTATCCTAGATATAACCAAGTTAGGAGCAGCACATCCAAGATGTCTTAGCCAGGGTGGTGTAAAGGTCCAATCAAGGACCTATTTTAGGCAGTAGGTCTGAAAGGGGGGAAGGGCGTTTCTAAAGTATTGTAGGTCCAGGAGGCGGGAGCTGTAGCTTCTTTAATCTCGTATATGTAATTTTTTGCACTGAAGATATTTTGGCTCTTGCCATGGACTGATGGTAGTGGTGGGGGAAGGGGAGTTTAGCATCCCTCTGCCCACTCCCAGGATCCCAGGATCCACCACAACAATTAAAAGCCATAAACTAAGATATAACCTAGATATAACCTAAATGTATTTCTTACCCTTTTTAATTCTGTTAAACTAGCTGGAGAGTTTGTTTGGATGGACTCGATTACCACCTCAGATTCATCTGGTGAACTGCTAAACATAACTCCTATTGATTTATTATTCTTCTGAATCTCAACTTCGTAGACCTCCCCTGGGTATCGACGGAAGATGTCTTCATGTTTAAGTGCAGCAGAATCTTCGAAGGAAAAAGATGCAAATTGAATCACACAGTTAAAGGAACACCCTAATGACTTTGTCCATAATATAACCATCCATAATATGATAAATGTATTTGTTCATAGACTGTGAGAAAATCTACTTTTTTTCAGGTAAGGATACAGAAGTCTTTGATTGAGTAGAGGTGAAATTTAACTAGGAATGGTGCCTGTTAAAAATCAACACAAAAATTTAGATTAGGCCCAGATGGGTACTACACTGGGAGACAATCCTGTACTCCTTTTGTATAATTTACTGAGTATATTTTATATGCATATGTGGTATTGAATACACAGGACCAACTACTGAATGCTCCATCCAAAGGACGAGCATAGACACAAAGAGTGTCCTACAAAAGGACATAAGCATAGCAGGCATTGAACTTGGTCCCAAAGTCCAACCCCTTGCCGCAGCATGTTCCCCCTCCCCCATTTCGTAGATTATATTTAATAAATGGCTTATAAATCAAATGTTAGTGTGCACACATGGTGGGTGTCAAACATCTGTGTATGCAAAGAGGTATGACACAATAGTCTATTTTATGAAATGTTTTTCTCTGTTAAATTATTGAGCTAGTTTCTGCTCTGTCATACCATCCTTCTTTTCAGTTTCCAAATATGATATGCAGCTACAGTAAATAGTCACATGATAATAATGCAGAACATACCAACTGCAATGGTACAATAAACCTCTGAATCTTCATTGTTGATGGCAAGCCTGCTGCCCTCTATCACAACTACTGTCATCTTGCCGACTACAAGTCTCGTCTCGTGCAGGTACATATCCGCATTGGCGTGAGGTGGCACTGCTTTCACAAAGAACGGTTTATAGCGCATCTTATAGTTTGGTAATGTGTGTTTCTTCTTCAAGGTTTTTTTTAGCTGAAAAAGAGAGATTTCTATTTAAAAACCATTTTAATACTTATAGCTTTGTCTATCAGGTTTTAAATGACAAATATTTGCAAGTTGCCCATAAATAGATGTGATGTGATATCATCATGACCATATATGGGTGTGATACGACATCATCATGCTTATATATGGGCATTGTGCACAAAGCTATAATATTATATATCATAAAGTAAATTTCAATTGTTGTATTTAGTAGCTAGGAAAATATTGGTTGTGCCTCGCAAGCCCCCCCCCGGCAGCTGGAGTCCAATGCCTCACTTGATGATGAATTGGGCCGTACAGTGGGACGCAATGCCCTGCCCCTTTTCGGTCTTATTTTACCATGTTGTACAATGTACATGGAACGGCTGGCTTAAATGTTTTCCATGTATTTCACAGGGATAGTAGCTTAATCGAACCAAGTACACAAGGATTGTCACGGTTCAGTGAACACACTGTGACCTCAATATAAAAGAATAATTAGCATATATCTTTTAAATTTAAACTTCTTTCAATTCCCTTAAGCTGTGTTTTTTTAATAGAGTGTAAAATAACAAATGCAAGTTATGATGTATGTGTTACAATTGCTTTCGTTGAAATGTATGCAATGAAAATAAATTTAATGTGCATGTTCATAAAATAATGACGGTTGGAATATACCATATATTGAACCAACATCATAAGGCAAGAATTTGTTTATACCTTGTCCAGCGAAAACCTGCCGCTCACCAATATTGATGATTTCAAATAAAAATAAAATTTCATTTTTTGCCCTATTAGCGCACCCGTCACCACAAAAAATTGACACTTGAGAAAAAAATGAAAGTTTTCCTTTAATTTTTATTACGCTCTTTAATATCTTTATTTCACTCGTATTTTAAATAAAAAGGAGGCAAGCCTGTAAACTGATTCTGGAAACTAACTTAATTACAAAAACTTAAGATAACAATAATATCTTCATCATAAAAATATTAAGAATAATAATAATAAAAGTAATGATCTTGAGGATGACACCATGAAGGAATCGAAACGTGGATCCCTTCCCAGAAGTCGAGAGAAAGTTAGGCGAGGCCTATAGGTTTTTTTATCGCTGCCTTGATATTTTCAAAAATAAAATAAGTATATTCCTTCCTAACTATATAAAATTACAGCATTTAAATATCCAATTATACACTGTTTAAATTCACCAATACAATTTTATTTTTACTTTGTCCTCCATCTGGATGCTTTTGGCACAACCATTTGCCAAAAAAGAAAACAAAATTTTATTTTTTTTTCTACCCTCCTCTGACGATCATTAAAAAAATAAGTTCGCGAAACAAAGTCTAAAAAAAAGACAGAAAATGGAATTGGAGCTCAGTTAAAATATTTTCCTTCTAATCCCAAGCTTCTGGATTTAAGTCGTGCAAAGTGAAAGGATTTTCCTCAACTAAAACAGTTCCACCCCTAAGCCTCACAATAAAACTTTTAATTAGTTTAAGTTGAGCATTATTGATGTATACGTCTCAGGGGTCCCAAGTTGGAAGAAGTCATTTCCGGGAGATCTGTGGGTGGGTGAGGAGTCGAAGAGTGGGGGAGCAGGGAGGGACTTTCATAGACAGCAGGTCTGAACTACATCAGCCCCCACCATAGTGATTGGGGCTGGGGTATGATTGTGGCACCTCAGGATGTATAATTTTCGAGTATATATTTTCGTGTATAAATTTTCTACCACATTTTTTTGTGATTTTGAAATTTTTGGGGGTCAAACACATTTAATTTTAATTTGCTGCACATAGTGATACCTATTTCCACAGACTTCCGTGAGAAAAATTGATAATAAAGTGCCAGTGAAAACATGTAAAATTATGAATTTGCGAAGAAGGGTTAAATTTGCTATTGGCAATCATTTCATCAAACAATCAACCAATCAGTCACTCAATAAACCAATCAAATTAATCGCTACATTTATATGGCCAATGTGCCTTAAAATGAAAGTAATTATGAAAGTAATTGTGAAATAATATGATACTGAATAAATTTGCTAATGACAATCATTTCATCAATCAATCAACAAATCAGTCAATCAATAAACCAATCGATTAATCGCTATTATACAGCCAATGTGCCTTAAAATGACTATAATAAATTAAATAAAAAGGTATGTATGATATCTTCTAGGAAGATTTTTTTTTTTTTAAATTAAATAAAAAGGTATGTATATCTTCTAAGAGGATTTTTTTTTAAAAATTATATAAAAAGGTACATATGATATCTTCTATGAAGATTTTTTTTTTTAAATTAAATAAAAAGGTATGTATGATATCTTCTATGAAGATTTTTTTGTTTTTAAATTAAATAAAAAGGTATGTATGATATCTTCTAGGAAGATTTACAAAAACAATTTTTTACACATTGATGTTTGTGATTCCTGTTTGTTCTCTGCCTGGTGTTAGACACTGTGCCTTGAGCACCAATTTCGCTTTAAAAATCGTTATTATTATTATTAATATTAGATGTCATTCCCGTCTGAAGCACAGCAGCAGCCAATTTATGGAACCCTGTACCAGCTAACTCTATTTAAATGTTAAAGGTTATTCATTTATATTGCGCAAAATACGAGAGTCTCTATGCGCAGAACAAGTGAGCAGATGTAACTAGAAAATAAAAAAGAAAATGCAAGCCAGCACCCAAACTGCAGTATGGGGATACGCCCTCGTCGCTCTGTTTAGTACCAGTTTTTAAATAAGTAGTTTTATTTTAGAAATATTGTATATTGAAATTGATATGTTAATTAAATTTTATAAGAGTGAAAAATTCCGCGAATGGTATAGTTGTTTTTGAAAATTTAAGACTAATACTCTCAAGTAATATAACGATAAATAAATTTTGTGGGTTTCTGATATTTTAATATCCAACTTGTTTTGTGATTCAAGTATAGAATAATAATACCATAACATTGTCTCATTTATATTCAGATCACACTCGTCATTTCAATGTTTCATGCCAAGTGTTTTTATACATAATATTATGAAAAACAAAATGGCATTGAATAATAATGTATCCGGGTGACCCCTTGATCTTGTGGCTATTGTAATTTTGTCCATAATACTTTGATAGGCTAGCCTCTCTTACCCATGAGACTATTGTGATGCATTGCTGTCTACGTATAATAGCTTTCAACTACATGGAATTTGTACCACTTCAACTATTGTTTAAGTATTTTTTTTTGTTTGTAATGGATATATGCATTCACACAAAGAATTCACAATATGTTCAAATAAAAAAAGGCTCAGGGGTATTCTGGGTGTAACAAACAATGCTTCAATAGAATGTATGAAGTCACTAGAATTTTTCATAAGGATTAAAAATATATTTGTGGTAGAACTTGTAAACGAATTCTCAAAAAGCAATCAAAACATTGAATTGTTCATATGAAGATGTATTGTCCCTAAAAAAAATAACAAAAACAATCATAAACCAACTAATTTTGAAATTAATATGCATTTTCTTTCTAAATAAGGAGTAGTGGAATATTTGCTTTGAAGTAACATAAAAATTATCAACTTGAACATAAATATTAGTGTATTTATAAAATTTTACCCAGATTTTTATACCGGAATATCATGTTTATGTTATTTTTTAAGGTAAAATTATGGGTGAACATTTTAAAAATGTATCTATGCTTGAATAGATAATTTGTAGGTTTTCAAAATAAACAATCTAACTGATTTTTATGATTTTAAAATTACTTTTTCAGGAGACAATACATCTTTAACAATCAGCTCAAAGTTATCATCTTCCTTATGAGAAACAGAAACAAAAATATTTTGGATTTTGTTGATTTAGAGATCCTGACCCACTTAAATTACAGTTTGTTAAAATTACACAGAAAATTCAAATTTTGTTAGATAGTAATTGTTGAGCTTCTTGATGTTTGTATTTATAATTATGATAATTTTATTTATAATTGATTTGATTTGAAAATATAGATTTTATATCAAAACACTCACCTGATTGACAATTAATGACCCTAACTGTGGAAAAGTTCTTCCTTCAAAATGTGATTTCACTTCAAATTCTATTTCTGGTTCCTGGATAAAAAAAAAATATAAGAGAGTATATTGCTGTAGTTACCATTGTAATTTTATTCACTTCTTACATTTTTTTATTGTCTCACTTTAGAATTGTTTTTCTTAGATGTTTTTAGTGGCGTATCTAGAAGTCTTGAATGGGGGGGGGCTGACGGGGGGGCACGAAGGTGAAGTGGGGATCGATGATCAGTTGAGGGGAGCTAATTCGCAAAATATGGTGATTTTAGGGGATTTTTAACTACTTGACTGTGATTTTTTTGGAGGGGGAAACTGGGAGGGGGACGAGTAATTTTTTGGGAGGTGTGCGCCCCCTAGATACACCACTGGTTGTTTTATAAAGATATCATGAATATATTGGCTACCATATGGTACATTACATTGGTTACCATAGTAACATACATTGGTTAGTGTAATAATTGGTATTGGTTAATTTATGAAATAGAAATGCTTTCACCACCATAGTGATTGCTCAATACAGTATATATTATTCAGTTCAATATATTATAAAAGAAAAAAAAAACAACCTAATTAATCTATGTTGCTCTAGCTACAACCTGTAATAGTCCAGACTAATTATGGCAACTAGTTGATGTCCATTGAGTTAATTCGAGTCGCAAGTGCGACATAAGCTTAGCTTAAGGATATAACAGTTAATTCAAACTTTATATATTTATAATTTTATATTTATTGTAATTTGATGAAATCAATGAAATTTTAGGTGTTCAAATTAAGTTTAGTAATATTTCAATGAGCTAATACTTTTTATGTATTTTTAATGTTTTGTCTTTACAAGTACAGTACAGTAAATAAAAAAAAAAATTAATAAAATATCGGAATGGAAAGAATGATGTGTGCTGATGGAAGGGAAAAGGTGTTTCAATTAGAAAGATTGTGGAGTTTCTTATACTAAGGGTATTCTAGTTGCATTTGGGTTTATCAAGCTTGAGGTCAAGGGTTCATATCTCTCGCTGTGCATTTTGCTTGTGACCTTAGGCAATTAGGATACTTTATCCACATTTGTCAGAACATTATTAATTAATATTGATGATTGTATTGATCATTATAGAGTAGTAGGCATTATTATTATTATTATCTCCGCCATGAGATATATGTTTTCATGTAAGTTTATGTGTGTGCGTCACATTTTGGTGTTTTTTTCTGTGGTTTTTTGCACAGACATAATTGAAAATTACAGGGAGTGTTTGAGGTGATTAAATTTTGGTGACCATCTGAAGTAGAGTTTGGATATGAGAACCATTTGAAGGTACAAGGAAGAAATTTTGAAGTGTTGGTGATGATCCAAACTCAACTGTGCATTTGAGGGCCAAAAGCAGAATAGGTTGTCATGTTTTAATAAAGAAGTGTGTCAATTTTGGTCAAGATTCGAAGTAGGGCGTGGATATGATGAATATTTAAATTAGAGCAATTACAGTAAAGGCATTTTATATGTACTAACTTCATTTTTTTCGGAACTTATTGGGAATATTTTTAATTCATCTTTACATTTTAAACATGTGGCACTAAAAACCAAATCCCCATATTTCTATTTAAAAATATTTCCATTCCAACACCAATACATTGCACGTATTTTGTTAATCTGCTATAAGAGTAAAACTTGCCAGTAAGTTAAGCCAGAACATGTCAGGAATTGGCAGATGTACAACTGATACAATAAAAAGCATTCGAAAAGTGAAGTGTGTTTTGGTGGCAATTATGGACCATTCAAAGCAAAACGCCGCAGATATTTCAACTCATCTAAATGAAACTTTTGTGGCTGTGGGCGGAGATATGCTCTCTACTGAGTGCTCTTGTTAATATCATTATTACTATCGTATATTATTCAGTATTATATTACTTCTGTACAAATCTAAAAAACCTTTTATGCTAATGATCATTAGCAGTAGGTGTTGGCGTATTAGGCTAATTGAGTGAACTCATTTGCATCATTTCATTTTACCTTATTTTGCCAGTTACAGTAGCTCCCTGTACTTATTCATCGAACCCTCCCATTTCACCTTTGTACTACTCCCCCCTCCCCAACCCAATCCCATTTCAGTCCTCTTAGATACACCACTGGTGCCTGGTCTCAAATGCTGATATGCTGATTACAGCTGCATCATTATAATTTGCTCCCTAAGGGAACTGAGTATGTGTTCCATCAGTAATTGATTCAATGATGTGGTAATAATGTGAAGTGTAGAGAGACCTTAGTATATTATTACTGTATTAAGGAATAAGAGAAAACCAGAAGAGGTTTATATGACAGGCCACAGTATATAGATGGGGCGGAAGCAAGGGGTGCAGACAATGTGCTCGCACCCCCCTAAATGTATTAAGAAAAATAATTGTTGTATTGTATTGTTGATATGAATTACCGATAAAATTTTTAAGGTGCAATTTCTGGGCATCTAGTGGTCCATATTCTCAAAATTTTCTCGACCATGGTTGGGGCTGATGTCGTGTGGACTCTGACGCAACCCCTACCTCAAAATCCTGCATCCACCCCAGCACAGGAAGCGAGGCATTCTACGATTGAATTTTATTTGATTTGAATCTATTTAACCATCAGAGTAAAATGTAAAAACAATAAAAGACAAATCCAAATACAAATACAATTGAAAACTCTGAAAGCAAGGAATAGCGAAAAAAGGTTTCAAAGAAACAAGTTCTCGTGATATTCAAAGCTCTGCTGAGGGCAGTATAATAAAGGCAGTAGAATATATTGGCCCTAACGGCCGCCCATACAAAAAAAGATCTATTAATCAAACAGCCAAATGTTTCTAGAGCTCCTTATCTGAGCTAAAAAGAAAGAAAATTGGATTTTTTTTTATATTGGCACAATATAACCCCACACTACACAAAACAAAATTCATCTTTATATTTTACTGATTGTGATTTTTTTCGCCATATCTATTTTAATATCATGTGATTCATCATCTTCTTATTGCATATGCAATACTTTGAAAATAAATGTGTCTTTTATGAGAAGAACCCAAAAGCAATATATCAGGTCGGTAGAGAAACTGAATGGTAATTGGAAGGTCTTGGGTTCGATTCCTGACAGAAACAATACAGGCAATTTTTTCAAAAAATACTGTTTATGTGAATAAACACCCCGGGAATTTATATGAGGCTCTGAAGGGGGAGTTTAGAATGGGGGGGGGGGAGTTTATTTGAATAAATACGGCATTTATAATAATCGAAATAGTATCATCTTGCTCTTCTCTTGCTGAATTTGATTGGCATTTGCAGGAGAAATAATAATTGAATAAGTCTAATTTAATGCTAAATTGTCTTATGAGGAAAGCTAATGTTAAGTTGAAGTCATAGAGAACCGTCAAATTAAACCTCAAGGGCATTTATCAAGGAACAAACAACTAATTTCCAGAATAAATGACACACTTATCTCGCACTGCATGACATAAATTATGTCCTTCTTATCTCGCAAAATGTTCAATCTTGTGCCTACAGGATAATCTGTACTGCCAGGTATCTCATAGATACCGACTGCCAATGGAGTAAAATACTCCACTCTGTAATGTACTGTAACTGACATCATGTCATCTTTATCTTGCAGAAATTCTAAATTTCGCACTGCATAAACTGTGCTTTATATCTTATGGAAACTAAAAATTTAATATTTTTTATAGACATAATAATGTTAAATGCCTATTTTAATTAAAACCTTTGAATATCTAAAGCACTGCGATATCCTTGGATATTACAGAGGCTATATAAATACCTACATTCATTAATATTATTAATATCATTATTACAAATATTTCTATTATTACTAATAACAGACAGTAATAAAAAAAATTGTAATATTTTACTTTTTAAATGTTGATATTATTTATATCATTATAATTTTTTTTTCAACATGATAAAATTCTAATAAAATGGTATATTAATAATATAATAATAATTCAAATTCAAATTATTTGAGCAAAATTCAATACAATACATAAAACATAACAATGAACAATGATAAAAATATATTTCTGTTGGGGTCCCATAAATAAAAGTACTTCATAAAGGTTGGTTAAAAATTAAAACTAACATTAAAATTTGTTAAAATCCTTTACAATTATTTATAATAATAATAATAATAACAATAATAATAATAATTTATTATTATTATTAGAGCATTATCGGTTTTCTTTGTATTGTGTTTATTATTACTATAAAGGCCATACTAATACTCTGCTTTGTAAATTAATATCATTATAATTATTCCTATTTTATCATTATCATTAATATTTATTATCGTTATCAACTTACATCATAAAAAGAAAACGACCAATGAGAATATGGTATTCTTGTGAACTGTAACCTCGCCCTGCCCCTCAATTTCTTCACTGTAACTGATATATACGCTGATGTGCCAAATGCCAGATCAACATCAACGGTTACACGAAATCCTCCTCCGTATTCGATTTCCACGGCAACATCAACTTCCTGAAATGAAAGATGCATGAAATTTCATGTTATCATTAATCTTGGTGAGGATGTCATTAAAGGCTTAGATGCAAGATGCAGATAAAATAGCCACTTTATGAATATGTTTCAAAGATTAGAACTGATCTCTAACTTCTAGAATTCATATCCAAACTTAAGCCAGGAAAATGGAAAAGATATTCACATACATAAACTACAACAGTCACTCTATAACTTCCTTGGCAGAGGGAATAAAAATAAACTGAAAAACACAGGTTTAGATGTTTGAATAATTGAAATATTTCACTAATTTCAGTGCTTACCTCAGGTACAACACATGGTTCCCTGGGAGTTGCTTTACACAATACAACATCTTTGATCGTTGGGAATGTTGGCCCAAGACAATAGTCGCGTACCTGTGGAAAATAAACATGACCAATTCATCGCTGTAATTGTATTGATATTTGTATAATAGATGAACCTTTTCCTACAAGGATCTGTGATCCATTAGACACTACTGTACATAAATATGGTTTTGATTATTCATTTACTTTTTTTAATAGCATACCAACCCTTTTGCAGGGAAGGCTGAGGAGATGAGAGAGAATTTCTAAGTGATGTGTTCAGAAAATAATCATGTGACAGTAGTATGTATGAGATACCAAGTGAACCTTTGCTAAAATAGCACATACACCAGTGTGTGGGGGAGGTGAGCTCCAATTATGCATTTCAAATTCAACTGTAATTTTTAAAATAATCCCATACAGTTTTAATGATTTAGCATTTTTTAGCTATTTTGTGTATCATAAAATTGTCATTTGCAAGTTAAAAATAAATTTGATTACTTTTATTTGAGCAATTTAATACATTGTATCTTGTTTGATATAATAACAAATTGTTGTATTAATAATTATTAACCCCATCATTCACTGAAATTAACATTTTATTACATGAAAAAAAAATCTTTTAAATTCTCTTTAGATTATGTAAATGCTATACATGAATAATATAAAATCTTTCTTAATATCAAACTGGTTTTTTTTTTCAATCCACCAGTGTGAGTCCAACACACAAACTAATTTCAGAGATTTGGAATAACCTTAATTTGCGAGCTTACAGAATTTTCTTCTGGGGTTCGATTGAGGTACTTTTGATTATCATAACAAGAAACAAATAAAAATAGTTTATTAAAATCATAAGGTTATTATTCTGAGCCTCTCTTCTCATGAAAATTAATGTTTGTAGAAATCCATGACAAAAAACGGGATCGTAAAACTGTAAGGTCATAAACATTGTGAAGTTTATACATACATTATTTTTATTGCAAATGGATCTTTTATATAAACTAATAAACATATTCCTACACAATGATAAATACGAAGCACTTGAAAAGGGAGTTTAATCACATTTTTTTTACCTTAATCTGTTCTAACAAACGACCTGCTGTTTTGCTTCGCAATAACTCATCAAATTCTACATTCATTTTTTTGATAATCCATGTTCGGACTATGATAGTGTCTTTCATTTCACGAAACAGGAATGCGATAAGAGTGTTGAGGGCATTGCATGATTCGTGTTTGCCGAGCAAAGATGAGTTTGAAAGATGCTGAAATATATTTAAAAAAAAGTAAACGAATCATTAAAACAATTAATATAATAACAAAAATTACTTCATTTGTAATTTGTATTTTTGTAAAAAGCAATACAGTAAAATAAAAATAAATAAATAAAAAATTAACAATACTGTACTAAAAATACATATATTATATTTACAAGTACAAAAATAGGCCAGGTATGAACTATCAAAAAACTTAAAAATCAAGTATATAAAAGGGAAAAAATGATTGAACAGGCTAAGTAAAAAAAGGTGTTTTTGTACCAAAAACTCCGTCAGCATTTTCAGATCAGGTGGTTATGCCACCAGTGAAGTCAGCATTTTCCCCAAAAGATGGTTCATTGTACCCACCTGGATGGGCCACACCCACGTAAGCCACACCACGGGGCTGAAGTTACAAAATGTGGCCTGAAATCATAAACTCTGAAGGCTGATTTCTCATATATTGTTCTTTAAGCAGCTGTGTGATTAAACGCTTGTAACTTCATAAGGAAATGTACGATTTGAATGATTTTTTTACCATTTTATAGCTATTATTTTACTCTCCAACATTGTATTAATAACTCAAAATCGTTTTTTGCGACGAGTGACTGGTTTGGCTTGTCTTTGCCACAAATATTAGGTCATATCACCTCTGGATGCCTGAAAATGTCATTCTAAGATCAGCTGTCTCTGATTTAGAAAATTATTCTAATCAATATTTTCCCACTCACTGGTGCAAGCCTGGGTCATGCGGCTCTAAACTTTATACTGCCATAGAATCTGATCTAGACATGCCAAAGTAGAGGAATATCTTATTCCAGCTAAATATGCAAATAGAATGATTTATTTTTACAATAATGTGTAAAAGGAGCAGTAATGTGAAACTAATGTTTTCATCTAACTTTATTTCTGCCAAAATTCTGCTTTTATTATTTTAACTGCTTTTAATGTCTTAATATTTAAAGTCCTCTAATAATGTGTTAATATTTTAACATGCTTTTAGTTCTACATTTTAACATTTTATCAATTGTCAGTATATCTTGGTGATTATAATTTTAGCAGCAGATTTTAGACAATTTAATGTACTGTAATGTTGTGCATGTACAATCAACCAAAGTTTGAACCATGTTTATCTTTTACGCTGTATTTGACCAACACACAAATCTTCTTCTTCCTCCGTAAATTTGCTGCCTTCATCTTATTGAAGATTCTGCATCTATCTACAAGGTCATGCTTGTTTGAGTTTGCTACCATGTTGTTAATTTATATTTCTATGAATGTACAGTAT